CAAGCACGCTCGTCCCGGGGCCACAATTGTCATTGAGAGCTCCATCGCCATTGGAATGACACGAGAGCTTCTTGGTCCCCTGGCCAAGGCCCGTGGATGCTTTGCGGGCATGTCGCCCGAAGTAAGTCCAGATTCCCCGTGCCCACTCTTGCCACACCACCATCAAGGGGGACCCTTGACCGACCCGAGCTAACGACCCGTGCTCTCAGCGTGTTGATCCAGGCCGCACGGAACCCCCCGCATACCTCATCCCAAAGGTCATCTCGGGCCTGGACGATATCTGCCCCGGATCGCTTGCAGCGATCACCCGCATCTACGCGCCAGTCTTCAACACCCTGGTCCCAGTCTCCCGTCCGGAGGTCGCCGAGTTGACCAAGCTCTACGAGAACTGCCAGCGCATGATCAACATTGCTTACGTCAACGAGATGGCAGACGCATGCGTCGGTCTCGACATCGACCCCTACGAGGTCTGCAACGCTGCGAGCACCAAGCCCTTTGGCTACATGGACTACAGACCAGGCCTGGGCGTTGGCGGCCATTGCATCCCTGTCAACCCCTGGTACCTCCTTTCCGGGTGCGAGATGCCCCTGCTGAGGAACGCCGCCCAGAGGATGAACAAGAGGCCTCGGGCGATTGCAAAGACATACACCGAGAACATTGGCAAGTTCGCGGGAAAGAACAGCGGCAAACCCCGCGTCCTCGTAGTGGGCATGGGATTCAAACCCGGCCAGAGCGTTCTGAGCTACAGTCCTGGTCTAGAACTCGCAAGGGGGCTAGTCGAGGACAGTGATGAGCTCGATGTTATGTTTGCTGACCCACTCGTCTCACAGAGTGCGCTTCCTCAGATTCAGAAGCTTGATGATAGATCATGGAACGTTGAGGCTTTGAACGAGTTTGATCTTGTCATTGTTGTCATGAGGCAGCACGGGATCGACTTTGACATATTGAGTCAAGCGAAAGATGTCCGCGTTAAATGGTGGTGCTCTTGAGTGTATTATAGAAGGACCGAGGAGGATTGGAGTTTGCTTTTGCTCGCAGATTTGAGGGATCAAAACAAAGGAGGCGTTCTCTGGTATTTCCCTAATTCTTCACTGAATTTCAAGCATTTGGAAAACAAAGATGAGTCCTGTGATACTTTGGAATGCTGTGCCAAAAGTGACTCCTGTTCACACACCTGGACTGTCGCGAGTCGCGGCTATTTCTCCATACCATACAACACGCCATTCACCATAGGTGAGGTTGAGTGACCGTTCAATGGGCGCGGTTCGGCTCCGAAATATCAAGAATTCCAGCGCTTGAGCGGCGCCAACTGAGACATACAGCGTCATCGGGCTGGGCGGTGTCAGAAGATGGGAGTCCGGGCGCCAATATAGTAGGTGCCGATCTCCTCTCCCTTGCCGATGGCAACAGTCACTTGCCATTTAGATCACTCTTCAACCATCGAAAAAACGCGTTCCTTTACGATCATTGGTGGGTGCTGGGGCGTCGTCCCATGTCTCTCAATCCCCCGACGTTCCTGGCGAACTAGGCTTTGCTGTCTCTGGTTAGGGCGACGGACCTCACTCCGTGGCCGCACGTTTTCTGCGCCTACCAACGCCACAGGGGGGCAGCACGCGGATGACAGCGCCTCTCCCGAGCTTAAGACGAGTGCGTGGTTCCGCGGCTCTCGCTGTCTTGCGTCAATGGCGTGACTGGGCAGAAACGTGCCTGTCCCCATCTCTGGGTCCAGTCACAACAACGCCAGAGACATGTAAATACATGACGCCGCCTGCACTGATAAAATGATTCCAAGTCCTTTGGGAGGCCCAAGCCGCACTACCGGATTTCTTCATGCCAGTTCACGTATTTCCCCAGTGATAGTGGAGCAAACCTTGACTTGATAACAGCGAATCTGCCCGTTTAGGCGAGACTTAAGCGAGCGAGATACCCGGCATAATCCTGCACGAGTCGTGTTACCCACCGATCCAAGCGCGAAGTAACTCTGATCACGACTCTTTTTCTCCGGAAACGTACCCCTGCAGCTCGTTTCCCGTCCACTCCCAGAGCCCCTCGCTGTAAGCTCATAGTCTTGACCAGCAGGCTGCGCCGGTCCAGTGACGTCCAGTGACTCGAAGAACTCTCCACTCCTTAGCCTCTTTGCTGTGACCGATGCCAAAAGCTGGCTTCTCACCCCTTGCACTGGTGTGGTGTTGGCATCACTAGTTTGGCGACGTTCCCTATCCGGCGAACCAACGCGAAGAACCCTCCGTCAGATTCGTGAAAGCAACGTCTGGTTGGATGGCTACTGCCATGAGAACGGGGCAGTTCTCAGCTAGACGGCGTTTGGAAGGAATTATGGCGAGCTTGCTCTTGCCGCTGTAGCCTAGAACGCTGGAACTCTCGCCTGTAGCCTTCAAGGAGGCAATGCCAATATTTGAGTTGCGAGCCTGTCGATGAGCATCGGAAACGAGTGGGATGGCGCGATGAGGGTAGCTAGGCCTGGGCCTGGGCCGTTCTTTTCGCGATCGCGGTTAGGAGAGTGGTGAATAACGCGGGATAAATATGATTTCTTCCCAAGCTACAGCCCGTAGCCTGCTTTTATCAGACTCTGCGGCGTCGCCGTGATGCCGGCAATGCGCATGAGGTTGTCAAAAGCGATCCGAACCTGAAGAGAAGATCTCGACAGCATCGACAACTAGCTCGAGACAGTAGATAGATCGGTTGCAAAACCTCAACATCGCCGTCAGCCTGGCTAGCCTCACCCAAATCGCGTGCTGTAAGTCAGACCGCTGCTGGGCCATGATTTGAGTGACCGAGACCTAATTCTAATTTCTTGCCCAGAACATTGTTCACCTCCGAGAATAGAAAGGCTTATTCTCTAAGCGAGTTTTCTTGTCTCTGGAGGGAGTAAAGAGGCATAATTGCCGCTCAGTAAGTTGCCGAGGCCCCGAGGCGCAGCTGTGACTATTTTCGGCGAGCTTGATTATGCGAGGCCGGGTGGCAAAAGACCTCAGGAATTCTGGTAATAGCAAGTTTTGATTTGTTCGTCGTATGCTGTAACTCATTATCATGAAAATGAGACCATCGCATCAAACGGTTGAAGGTTGTGCCCCAAGTATGGATTTAGCACTCAATGCAACTTCACCACGGTTCCGGGGTGTCGATTGTCTCCAGAATGCAGCTGTAGAACACTGATGTCGAAGCATACATTGCACACAAGCCCTCATTATACTTTGCAGAAGAATACCGCCGAATGATCCCTCGACCACCCATCGCAAATATGCCGGCTTCATCGGCCCTCCTCCTCGGCGCCATATGGAAGACGTGATAGTTAAATGTCGCCGGTCATTTTTGGTAAAGCGATATAAACGCCACCAAGCGACCGTCTCTGGATTGTCATGCGCGACAAATATTCAGCGGCTTCTCTACCCCCGTCGTGGCTCCAAGCTGGAACGTATGTTATAATTTTGATCAAATATCGTCTGGCGAACTCACCGTAAATGGAGGTCCGGGTACCCAAATGCAAGCAACGCCGCGTGAAGTGCGACGAGCGTCTCCCACGTTGCAGCAATTGCGTGTTTAACGGGCGGCAATGCTCATACCTCGCACTCTTGGCGGTCTTACCCTGCTGGTCTCGTTCTGAGGAGCCCCAGCCGATACTGAACCCCTGCCATCCCACAATCAGCCCATCCACCGCATGAGGGGATTGAAAGTGCCGCGTCTTGTTGTCTTGTCACGGATGTCGGTGGGTACAACTCGTGGACGCCTGAGACATCATCTCTCCCTTCGCCAGGGGATATTCAGCCCTCTCGTTAGCTTTGCTCCCGAAGTATCCGGCAAAAGGCCCCTTGCAGTCTGATTGTCCACCCTAGAAGCGACTTCCTTTATCGCTTGCGCCATTCTGAGCTGTTCAAATATTTCAAATGCCATGCATGACAGTTCTGCCGCGATGACCACCTAATTGTCGATAAGATTTCAGAACTCAGCCTCACAGAGGCCCGACAGTCTCACAGTGGCCCGACAGTCTCAATCCCATTGGACGAGATACTCACCATTTTGGTGGCACAAAGGTGAACGACCGTGACAGGTAACCTTTGCGGCGAATACGGAAGCGAAACGATGGTGCTCCAATGTTTTGCTCTCGCTGGCCTCAAGAGAGCGCACAACGAGACTGCGGATCCAAGCTGCCTCGCCATGTTCATCTTTTGCAATCTTGGCGGCCAACAGGCCCTTGCCGCCGCTCTCACTCACTGCTGACGGGGAGCTGTCACTGGCCAGTGCTGGACACCTCTCCCTATTACATCCGTTGACAGAAAGATATCCATACAGTCGTCCGTACAATTCATATTTCCACATTCTATCTCATATGGCTGTCGAGGAGGAAGACATGGTAAACATTCTGCAGGGTAGTCAAGCCGGCGAAGAGTCCAAGTCAATCGCTAGCTGCTCCTCGCCAAAGTGGCCACAGAGCCAGACCTGAGAATGTATCCCGTTGTGACGATGATTTTTTAAAAGATGCCCGAACGGCAACGGCATGTGAGCATGGTAAGAAACCGCCCTGGATATTCAAGACGAACATTTGAGCCGGTCGGTTTTTGAACAATTTCGCCCAAGCTATGCAGCAACTGCCACCGGAGGTCTTGTAACTGGCTCATCCGCTGGACCTTTTGCCACTTCCGATCATGTTGGGCTATTTTAGACGTTGGATACTTCTCAAGTGAGAGCATGACATCGCATTAGGGGAACTTCTGGGCATCTTAGACTGAAGCGGCCGAGGAGGATAATACGTGCGACGAGCTTGGCTGATTTAAGTGCATTTCACTTCACTGTATCGACTTCAAAGGCAAATCTTTCATTGGCATTCTATGCCTTGATAGCTAAGGACCGTTCAAAAAGCCCCGAATCCGGTCATACCTCTGAAATGCTCATGTCTCATGAAATCATCTGCCTAATTGTACCATATCACGCTCAAAAGGTCAGCGTCTGGCCAGCCACGCCGACAACGGCAGCTTTGACATTGGCAGATCCCACGAGCTTGTACGAGTAGGGCGGGCTGCTTGCCGTCAAGGTGCCGACCTGCGCCTGGTTCTGGCTCTTGCCGGTGAGAACGACATCCTGGGCAACAACGTATCTATTTGTACTGTCAGCAACTTGCTGTCAATGAATCGAATTGGAAGACTGACCCAATTTCTTTGCTTGATTCGGAGAAGATGGCCTTGGTGCCAACATTCTCGAAATAGCTGCTCTGGATGAGAGCCTGGGCGCCCATGCGGGAGTTCAGGCCCGTGTCCATGGTGTCGAAGTAAGTGCTGTCGGCCTGGTTAGCCTCTATGAAGAACGAGAGCCGTATTTGGCCTTCTACATACTTGTAAATGTGGGCAACGCCAAATCGGAGGAGGGGACCACGGCTGCGAATGTTGTACCAGTGGTTGTTGGCATATGTTACGTGCAGGGTTCCCTTGTCCTCTGCGGCATTGTTATCGGAGTGGCCAACGAGCGACCCCTTGGACTTGAAGGTGTGTTAGCAAGCCACAGTCGATAATATGGAGACGTCAAGATAACTCACGTGGTCGTGGAAGTATGTGTTCGAGATCGTGACCCAGTCAGCAGCGTGGGACAGATCTGTGAGACCGTCGTAAAAGTCTTTGTCGCCGGAGCGTGTCGCCGAAAGGTCGCAGTGGTCGACCCAGACATTCTTGGACAGTTGAATGGTGATTGCGTCACCGTAGGTGTTCTCAACCTTGCTAATAGCCATGTTGCGAATGATGACGTTCTTCCTTCCCAGGATGGTCAGGCCGATGCCCTCGAGAGCTGCTGCGGTCAGTCACTGCGGCCTTGTTTGGACTTGGAGAGCACTTACAGCTGCCACGGGCGCCGATGATGGTCTTGTCAGAACCAACCTGCACCTTGGCGGCGCCGGTAATCTTGCCGGAGACGATGATAATGGCGGGCCCCTCGGCGACGGCGGCTGCTGTCAGAGCAGCCAGTGTAGTGACGGTCGTTGTTGTACCGCCCGCACCACCCTTGGTGCTGCAATATGTTAGTGTTATCAGGGCAGGCAAATCATCAACACCATAGCAGCTATGGACTAAGGAGCGTCGCACGTACCCGCCATTCTGTGTGCAGTAGCCAATGTTGCAGGCATCCTGGACCGACGCCCTCTTTGAGAGGACCTGCGCCGGCGACGCCGATACCAGAGATGCCAACAAGGCGAACGAAGCAAGACCGGTGAATTTCATGATGAGAGCGAGAAGCGATCCAAAGGCGTAATAAGTACGGTTGAAGGCTCAAGTAGCTTGTGTTTCAACCTTCATCTGTTCCTGCTTCCCGGCACTGACCCTCCTTTTGTACCTCTTCAGTCTCTTGGTCTCTAAATCCGATACACTGCGGGCAGCCATCCTAAGGTGGGCTACACAAGGAAGTAATCCCCCCAATAGGATAATGGCGTGCCATGTAGAGTGATCGTTCTGGTAGGGGAGGTCCTTAATAATTGGCATGAAACGATCCACCAAGCCCATGATAGGCCATGATCGACAGCAAGAATGATGGGACGACAGCACCCCACGGGGTCAAGTTCACTGCTCCCTGAGATGACAGATACCTTTCCATCGTGTCAGCGAATACCTGGGCGGAGAATCATTCTGTTGGTGGATGATTGTCTGGGGTACGTGCTTAAAGATCTTCCCGGCGCATGCTGCGAGTCGGGATGTGATTTGCCAAGTGATCCGGGGTCATACATGTCAGCCCGCTTGGGGTAACGGAGCCTGCAGTGCCGTACCAGTGCCGTCAGGGACGGGGAACGATCGGGAGATCTTGTTTCGACGATCAGTGTAGGTTCATGTTCTTAAGCTTGCAAGCATGCTTAAAACCTCTCCATGCCGTGACTCGAAGTAGGCCTGCAGTCACATTTGATTTCGGCACTCGGCAAGTAGAGCTCGTCATCGCGAGTCGACCTTGCCATGTTGGTCTCCTCCACTAGAGAGGGACTTGCTTGTCGACCATGAACAAGAAATGGATTCGGAAAATCGCATGAAACTGCTGTTCAGGTTTACCGCCGAGTCCCGAAACCCCAGGTTCCAACCAAGTCAAACGCCATAAGCTTTCCGAGCTTTATGCACGATACTCGACATATACCACAGCATTATTTCCAATTGAGGTCTATCAAGCCTGGGCAGCGGCATGCAACCTGGCAACAGATGCGGGGAACCGTTGGCGACCTGGATTCGTCGGCGAGTACTCTCAAACTGCAAGGGGGAGACGCGGTCCAGCTGCGCGTACATAAGCAAACAGACGAGCAAAAGCAAAGCTTCCTCCGCATGATCTCAGGGCCAGATCACGGGGGTGCAATCCTCCTGCTAGGGCTGAGTCCACCAACTAAGGCCAACCAGAGCTGACATGCACGATGCCCATCGGGCGAGCGAAGCAACCCTGGTCCGGCGCGCAATGGTTCCTAATGCGGAAGGCGTTTGGGTCGACCATTGGCTGCGCCGCCCAGCATTGTCGTCACAATTGGAACAACTTTGCGATATACGTATGAGAAGGATTGTGTTTCAATCGACACGACGTGATCGAGGGGATCGTGATGTCAACAGATGCCCTGCGACGGGGCGACGTATATGTAGTGCAAGGCTGCCAGGGGTGAAATACCGGTGTTTCTGTTTTTGTTTCTCATAAACCGATAACTTGAACCACCGACCAAGACGAAGACGGAATCAAGCATATAGTCGATGACCAGCAAATACGCAATGCCTCATCCAATCTACCGAAGAATCTTTTCAATCCTTGCCCTCCTCCTCCTGAATTTCTCCCTTTCCGCAGCCTCCAAAATCAACACGCAACTCGTACACCGAGACGAGGAACCCGGCCCCCTCTCCCGCCTCGACAAAGGCGAACGCATCGCCGTCGGCGTCGGCATCGCAATCGGCGTGGTCCTCATCGTCATAGCTTCGATATGGTGCTGTTGTTGGCCATGCCGACCTGCGCCGCGTCCACGGAGCCCCGACCGTTTCCATCGTCACGAAGTAGCAGCGGGGGGCCAGCTAGCGGACCCCGAGCAGGCCGAAGTCGACGGTGAATGGGTCGTTCAGCGACAAGGGGATGGCAGGAGGGCTGAGTTGGCCGACAATTCGGATGAGATCAACAGAGTGCACGATGGGCGGGAGGCGCCGCCGCCATACGAGAGCGATGTCGCGGCAAAGGATGCTGGTCGGAAATAGGCCCATGGACCAGCTCAAAGTTCGTCGAGTCGGCGGCTGGGTTGGCGGTGAGAGGATGGGAGGGGAAAGGAAAGCAAATACATAAAAGACAGATCAAGACATCCCTGAAAGTCATCGTCAGCCCAACGCCACTAAGGTAGACATCACTCGCAGCACTTGGTGGGAAAAGGCTCAAGGTCTATTAACGGTTACACAATTCAGCTGCCACGGTATCATGCCTAATAACAATCCTGCAATGCAATAACTGTACGAACCATGTCCCTGTCTACAGAAGGACTCCATTGCATGCTTCCCATTTCTACATGCCTCGATCATGCCCTGTCGGGTCAGAATACCTCTCCAATTTGATACGCTCGCGCATTTCTTATGCGAAGTAACTCTTCCAAAGAACCCCCTCCAGGGCATCTAGTTGCTCTTCCGTAAAGTACTAGGGAACGTATTGTTAGTCAGGCGCTCACGGCCGAGGCGGTTCAAAGTGTGTGGCTCACCTTCTTGTCTACACTCCAGCTATCCTGCCTCGTCTTCTTGAAGTCCGAGAGGATCGACTTGGTGGCCTTGCCCACGACGCCAGGGTCGCTAGCTGCTCCATTCGCAAGCGTGGCCAGCACCTCTGGCATCCACGTGGGCGGTGGTGTAGCGTACGGGAATGCTTCAACCAGGGCACCGAGACCAAGCACAGCGGCATGGCGACGAGTGACCTGCTTGTGCGAGTCGATCGGGGTCTCGGTGCCAGGTAACTTCTTCTTCGGCATTGGGTTTGTCCGGAGCTGGGACTCGAAGCGGCTCTTCAACAGCTTGATGGTTGGACCACGAATGCGCTGGGGCGAGCAGCGGACCAAGCCAGCCAGCGTGTTTGACGCGCAGGTCCTCACTTCCAATTGCTGGTCCGCCAACATGTCGCTAACGGCATCAAATAGCCTTCCTCTCTGATCCTTGTTGGTAAGGAACAAGCGTCGGAAGTAGATGACCTGCATGTTGACGAGAGCACGCAGGCGTTGATGCCAGCTGGGCGACGTCCTGCCAATGCGAATCAATGCATCGATGAAGCTATCGTCCTCCCCAGCACGGAAGGGGATGTTTGGCAGGTGACGATACACATGATACGCAAGCTTCATAAGCTCGGGATCTTCCTTTACGTCCATCATGTGCAGCAGCTGTTCCATGAAGGGCTGCGGGAAGAACTGAACCAGTTGGGTGCAGTCCTGTTGCGACAGCGCGGAGTCGAGCCACGTGAGTACTGTCTTTGAACCAGCGGTGTAGGAGGATGGGGTGTTTTGGCCCGGCGTTCGCTCGTGTCGCCACTTCTCGATGCGCTCGAAGACTTCCAGGATCGTAGCTGTAAAGTCCTCAGTGGGCTGGTACGGACGAATGCCGATCGAGGACGCTTCCTTGTTGGCCGCTAGGAGTTTCTCAACGGTCTCGTACGATTCATGGTACCGTGTGCGATATATGCTTGCGATAACGCGGCCCATGGCTTCCCGCACAGTTTTGTAAGGGTGATCGAGGTGAGCGAGAAAGTTTTCGAGAATCGGCTTCTCATGGCGGAAGTGCCAGCCAAGATCGGAAACAGCTGACTCAAGCAGCTGAATCTTGGACGCCTCTTTGAACGCCGCGTTGGATGTCATGTCGAGACGGAAGGAGACGAGATGCTCGATGATCTCCTGAGATCTTCTAGGGTCCTTTGAGCCCATGATAAGATGCAGGCAGGTCAGCCAGTACATGAGATTCTCAGGCGTCAGATCTTCGCCGATTATCTTCAGCAGCATCGGCGCTGCAAAGGCCCAGACCTTCTGGCGGAAATCAGGCGGGTCATCGGAGGACCCTGTCAACAGAGCACCCAGGATTTCAGCGGTGGCGCGATGCTGGTGCTTATCACTACCGTCACCATAAGTCTCCTTGGTGAGCTCTTCGACGTCTGCGAGCGTAACGGCGGTGCCTCCATAGTGCATCAAATCGAACACGTGCATGAGCATGAAGACGTTTGTCATTCGGAAGCGGTCTGCGCTTGTGTCCCGAGGCTCTTGTTTGAGGTACTCAAAACACGTCCTCATCCATTCTTTGTTGACGATTGCACCAATCTGCTGCCGCACAGCAGTCTCGACATCGTCGTAAGCCGTGAAAGGCATGGGCTTGGCTCGGTACGCAACAAATTTCTTGCCCCAAACCAGCCATCCTGGATGATCTGTGTTCACCATGTACTCTGGCGTCTCAGGCTTCGAGAACGAAGACAGAAACCTCTCCGTGAACTCGGCGTCTCCTTGCGGAACCGGTACGATAACCTTGTTACGGTCCTTTTCTTTCTCCAGCAGGTAGTTCTCGTACTTGTGGTCGTATGCAGCGCGCATGTCGATGGCTTCGAACAGAGTTGTGAGTGCCGAGATGTAGTGCATCCTGAGGCCCGGGTGCGTATCGTTTGCCCCCTTGGCGATGAGGTCGATGAGTTCGGCAGGTGCTAGTGTGTTAAACCGCAGGGAAAGGTTAATGGCGAAGATGACACATCGGCCGGCAATCTTCCAGTGCGCCCCCTTTGACCATTCTGTGAGCTCCAGGCCAAGAGCAGCCTTCTTCTTCTCGACGCGAGCCCGGCGGCTGACGATAAAGTTGTGGCGAGAATCAATTGCTGTTGCGCAATCAGACGGAGGTTTGATGTGGTCGACAAGCTCGCTGTTCACAATGATCATGCGCTCGAAGGGCTTGCCAAAGTCAAACATTTGGTAAACAGCCCCGGCCACCAGGTTCTGAATGCTCGGCTTGTCGATATTGCCGGCTTTCATGTACAGGCGCAATGCGTCAGGAGCGAAGCGCCAATCCTTCACAAGTGTTTTCAGTAAGCTCGTGAAGAAGAGAGTATATAGAGCGCCCTTGATACGGTCGTGGTCCACAGCTTCGATGGATGTGCGAAGCTTCTCCATGATGATTGGAATGACCATGGGGCGACCGCCAATCAGGGCCTTGAGGGAAGACTCGAGCGAGCTCTGCGCCACTCGTCGAACGTCGGCATACAGCGACGTGCAAGACTCGGCCAGATCCAGCAGCAGACGCTTGTCCAATTCACTCTTTTGCCTTGCCGAGGCGTTGTGTTTCACTCGCAGGAGCTGGTAGGCATCGGCTCGTTTGATGAGCAGAGGTCGGGGGTAAATCTTTCGAAGTCCACTAATCTTGAAGGCCGCAATGTCCGACTTGTAGAGGCGGAGGTGCCTCTCGAGGGGGTGGGCTGAGCGCTCGATACCGACATCAGTGATCCAGGTACGGTACGCAGCATATAGAGCGGTAAAACAAGGCACGTCATCTTCCACACTTGTGTTCAGGAAGTGATGTGTTCTGGACAGAAGGCGCCCGAGATCTTCCCTCAGGTCGTGAATTTTCCGATAGGCAGGGTCGTCAGACGACAGAAGGTATCCGGCCTGGTAGCGGTACTGAGGTCGAGTCTCCTCATCTTCGGCAGCTTCCGCAAGAGGATCGTCACTGTCATCCTCCATGGGAACATCGTCTTCAATGTCCGCTCCGGTAGATGAGCCCACCGCCCCATTCGGGCCTCCGGAGGCGCGTTTGGGATCAAAGAGTGTGGCCATGCCGGAGATCACGAGTCGGATCTGAGATAGTAGTCTCGACACTTCGTCGGACCATTCCTTGTTCTTGCCTTTCCTCGGCACAGGGGAGTTATCGCTCATGAGTAAATCGAGCTTCTCCGCGGCACCTTTGGTCTGGGCATCAAAAAGTTCTACAGCAAACTCGATCTCCTGGGGAGACGGCCGGTGCCACTGGATCGATAGATCTGCGGGCTTGGTAGTCTTGCCCCAGTCGTCAACGTCAAGTCCCCGCTTGAGCACGCTGGGTTCGTATAGCGCATTATCGAGGGGGTAGGTGTGTGTAAGGTTAAGTAGCAGGTGGTGGATGTAGTTCGAAATGTGGATGGTGGGAAGTCCGCGACACTTTTCCTGCATGTATTGCGCAATTGAGTACAACTCCTGCTTGTACTTGACGACTTCGCCGCCAACATGGACAACAACCATACCTAGCATGCTCACGTGCCAGACGAGAGCACGATCACGTGGCAGATAGTCTGTGCCACTGCTCCGGTCCGAGGCAGCGTGGTTGTAGTCGATCTCGTTGCGGATGTTGGCGATGAGCATGGGAATGAACACCTTCAGTGTCTTTTCCGGGTTGACTTTGCACAGAGCATTCAAGATCCAGGCCATTGCATCTCGTGCCTGGTGAACAACATGCGTCGACACGAAAGACGAGAGCTTCTCCAGCGCAAGGTCGAACAACTCTGGCGAAAGAGAGGCGAAGAGCGGAGACAGAGCAGCAGGCAAGGCGTTGATGACGTTGTCCTCTGGTGTGGTACCACGCAGGTGGGAAGCGTCGGGCAGGTTCTCTAGCAGCGTAAAGACCTTGCCCAAAAGCGCAAGCACGAACTCGCCCATGCCGAGCGTGGACGACCTCAAGATTGCGGCTTCAACCTCATCAGAAAGCTCAGTCGCATAGTCAATTTCAATATGCTGGCCTTCCCGCTCCATGCGCTCCATCTCACCTTGCACCCACTCCTCTGCCAGCCTGGTATCATGTATCTCGCTGCCCTTCTTCACAAGGGGCACCATGGGAATGCTGTACGCTACGCTCTGGATGAAGTTTAGAGTGTGCTGCGTCTTTCCGAGATCGTTCGCGTCGATGCCCGGCAACGAGAGCGCCAGGAGGGCCGTGATGTGGCAGCGGAAGCCCTTCTGCTTTGACATTGTGTTGGCAATCATCTGCAGACTGTTGAGACTGGACGTTGTGCGGTGAACTTCCACAAGACCTTGCAAGCTGGGGTAGAACCGTTGTAGCGCTCCAGGCAGCATCAAACCAGGCTCGAGATACGAAAGTCCCTGCAAAGCGGCGTAATAATAGTGGGCTACCCGACTGCTCTTGGAAAACAGGCCCATGAAGGTCACCTCTCGAAGAGCCAGGACGAAGCGGCGTTTCAACGCAGGACTGATCTTGCGATCTGCGGGAATGTCGAGCTCTTCGCTCTGTTCGCGGTTCCACCTCGACACGAAAATGTCGGTCAAATATAGAGTGAACTGGCCCAGGAAAGTCGTCCAGGAACCCGCGTTGGAGGGGTGGTAAAAGGTATCCACAGCCTCGAGCAAACCCTCCAGACTGCTGATAATAGAACTCTCCTCCTCTAGGCACTTGGGCGATAGTGAATAGATCAGAAACCTGGCTATCAAGTATGCGGTTGGGTACTTCTTCTTATCCTTCTCCAAGTACATGCCCAGGCCAGCCTGGTAGTCGAGAGAGGTATAGGGCGAATTGGCCTGGCCCACCGGAATATCCGTCAGCCGCAGGACGGCCGTGAACAAGACATCGGATTGCTCCCTAGTGAAGATGCCGTGCGCGCCGAAGGGCACATGCTTGGTCTGAAGCATATCCCTGGCGATGCGAGACGACAGATCGATGAGGTGAACGTCGAATGTTTTAGATCGCGCGACGAGGGACCACAGGTGGAAGACGGTCGGCATGAAGTCTTGTGGCAGAGCACAAGTTTCGGACTCGGGAGCGGCCGTGGTTGGAAGGAGGGCATTGACCATGCCCATGACGATATAGGCATCAGACAGATCGGACGTGCTGAAAAAGGGCAAGAACTCCTCGAGCATTTCACGTCTGTCTTTCGGGTCGAAGTATGTTTGCGCATGCAGACACAGCTTCCAGAGCTGCTTATGCGATTTCCGTCGGCTGCTCTGATGGGCTGGAACCTCGCTCGGCAGAACGAGAGCCTTGACTTCGCGCCATAACGGCCTCCAGTCGAGAATGAGATCGTCGACGGGCTTTAGGTAGTGGAATTTCCTGCACGGGAGAGAGAGAGACTGGTCAGGAAAAATGGTTGAGGGCAGAGCGTTCTTGTTGCACAAGCATACCTAGTAAGAATCACCACCATCTTGAGGAACCGGTCGGCAGCGGTGGGGTCAAGACCTGGAGCCAGACACAGGTGGTAGTACAGCTTGGCCAGAGTGGCGCGAAGCTCTCTCGTCATCTCAAACTTGAGGTTCAGCCATCCCTGTAGCTCACGCGTCCAGTGAAGAGCGCCGGGAGAGAAGTCCTCCGCCTTGATGGCGATGTACAGCTCTTTCAGAATACCCGCCAGCGCAACGTCCCTCTCGCCCTCCTCCTCGACGGGAAACGGCAGGTGGTCGAAGTAGCTGAAAGTGCGGGGGCGATATCGCTTCGTGTCATCCTCATCCGCCTTGGCATAGGGAGGGCCTGGTGAGTTGGTGCGCGAAATGGTCTCGACGGAAGAGAAGTGACTCGTGAGGTGATGCGCATGCGAGGCAGCGGACAGGGTCATGGCCGCATTGGTAGGCAGCGGACCCGGTGCCTCATCCATGATGGCTGCGGAAATCTGCCGACCGCAGACGAGTATGAAGTTGAGAACTTAGCACGGCGCGGGAGTGTAGGGCGATGGAGAGTCGGTCGCACAAGGGAGGATGGTCGACGGTGGCAGGTAGGTGGTGGTCGAGGCGAAATTCGGCAGGGAAGCTCGGGGCTGTCGGTCGCGTGGTGAAGCAATTGGCCGGAACGGCTGCCGGATGTCTAATGCCTCGGGGGTCGAAGAAAACAAAAGAGCAATGATGGCGGTCTCGAAATGTCAGGCAGTGATTGATGGGGTGGGTGCCAATGCCCGATGTCTTTATGTGGACAGACAAGGCAAAGTGCAGCTTGGTAAGGTGATGATGCTAGCACCGCAGCCTGGTCTGGCTCGCCTAGGCTACTGCTCTCTCTCACTGGTGGTGCTGCTCCTGTTCCTCACACTACCTAGGTAGGTACTGCTGGGCTGGTGCTGGGGGTGCTCTCAGCTTGTTACCCAGGCAGGTCTAGGGACGCGGCCACAGTCTAGGCACTTCCCGGCACGTCATTCGCCCAATTGCGGTCACCCTCTTCTTCGGGACCTGGGCTCGGTGGACGGGCGGCCCACCTGACCAGCTGACTCTTGACCTAGCGCTGCTTCGTCTTAATAAGCAGCCGCTCGTCTCGATGGTTTCACAAGTACTGGGCCAAAGGGTCCTCGAGCTCCGATATCTACTAGATGCCACAGACCAAGATATTATTTGTTCACCTACTTGACTTGAAGTTTGGAGAGCTTCTCGTACAGCAAAGACATCAATGAGATTGATTTGAGGGCCCAATATGCATCCGCCTCCCGTGCATGGCTGACGTCTTCCGATCCCCTTCCAGCTCGCCGCAGGCACCATTGAGCGTCGTAATCAAGGCCTGCCATCAGCTGACTTGGTGCACTGAAAACGCTGGCTAAGGCATCCTAATTTCGTATACGACCTAAGGATCTCAGGTCGAATTCCACAAGCCGGGTGCTATCATGAAAGCATGCGGGAACCATGAGGGAGCGGCGCAGATCGTACTACGTCAAGCCAGTCGCAGCCCCCATTCCAGGACATTGATGTTGAACTCAGCGCCAGTATTGCTCAAAAGAATTTCAGTTAACCTTGGGGAATTTTTTTTTTCTAAATATACTTCAATCGCTTGGCGACCAGCAAAGACAAGAGCACAAAGAGGATAATTCCACTCGTGATGCCCAACCAAGCATTCAGATTGTCGTCCTGTCCCCATGGTACCCGGACATTCATTCCAAAGAGGAAGCAGACCAAGTTGAGAGGTACAAGAACCGATGCTATGACCGTAATACGGCTCAGAAACTCGTTCGTTCGGTTCCCCTGCGTAACATTGTCGATGGACAGTTGGGCCAGGTAATTGGATCGGCAGCGAGACAGGATCGTTTCGAACTGCACGAGACTGTTGATCATGGTCACGACGTGGTCCTGAATGTCGCCAAGATAGAGACCAATGTCCATGCGAGGAGTGACCTTGTAATTCTCGTTACACCGTTTGACAAAGGCGCGCAGGACATCCACCTTGCCGCCGAGGAGTCGCATGAGTCCTGTGAGATTGGCTCGCGAGCGGCTCATTCGTTGGAGGAACGCCTGGTGATCCTCTGGTCTCGTGATGAAGACTTCGTCTTCGATTTTGTCTGCCTCACGCTCGATTTGCGTAATGGCAGGGAGGAAAGAATCCACAATGTCGTCACTACTTCTGCATTAGCACCTCGGGAACGACATAGGGCAGAACAATCGAGCTGGCTTACATCAGGGCGTAGCAGATCCAGTCACTGCTGAGAGAGACGTGCTCAGTCAGTTGTGAGATCCTGAAACGGACTTTGGATGCGTGTGTTTCCGGTGCGAAGCTGAAGGTGATGATGCCCTCGCGGAACACCACGAGGTACATACTGAAAGGCTCGAACTCGATTCCTTCAGGTTCCTCAACGACATGGAAGGATCTGAAGGAGGCAAAGTAGTAGGACGGGAAAAGCTCAATCTTTTCGCGACTCTCCTGCGTGCTGATATCCTCGATGGTGAGCGGATGAATTCCAAAAGCGCTGGAGATGGCAACGACTTCTGTTGGCGTCGGATTGTTGAGGTGCAGCCACCAAACACCATTGGCTGTTTCCTGCGAAGCATGGAACAAGTTTCTGACGTCCTCGCCGGGAAGAAGAAGGTCCCCGAATTCTGCAGCGTGCAGCGTTGACTCCCAGGCCGAAGAGAAGAAACTGAAGCGAATAGGCTTTGGCTGCTGCTGGGCCGCCGTCATGCCATGCGCCTGCTTGGAGTCGCTCGAAAGTCGAGGAGGAAGTTCCATAAAGTCTCCGTCCGAAGTGACCATTGGGAAGTGGTTGGTTTCCATGCCGCTGGACTGGAAACTTTCGAAAGCGTGGGGGGTAGGGCGCTCACTTTGCTCCAACTCGATCAGGGCGTCCAAAACGTTAAAGTTTATGGAAAGCTCATGATTGGACTGCGCCATGCGCGCTGGTCGCGATATATCAGTGTCACTGGACCTGATCGTTGCCAGGCTGGCTAGGCTTTCCGAGTCGTCAAAGTCCACAGTACCTGGTCGGCTGCGAGAACTCCGGGAGCTACGAGCATCGTCTGAACGGAGGCTGGCACCGTATGCCACGTAACTGCCGCGTCTTGCATCGTCGCGCCTTTCAATTCCTTGTGTCTCGGAACTGATCGAAAGCCGGCCACGCTGCCGCGCACTGGCGAAGGCCTTCACAGAGCTGGGCGTGGGACATCGCCGGGATTGTCGATCTGAGCGAGAGTCTGGCGAACCGGCACGGTCTGAGCGAGGCGCTCGATGGTCATATCGACCGATCGAGGCGTGGTCTTCGTCGTCAGACATGTTGCTGTTCTGCACTGTACTTCTTTCCATGTGCGAGTGGCGGATTGAATGCCTGATGGCCGAAAAGAGTAGGTATGATGAGATTGTCGGGCATGAAGCCTCAAAAGCTTGTCGTTTGAGCTTCAATGCCTCTCAGGGCGTTCTTTTTGCTCTCCCAAGCTGGAAGCCGTCGCGTCGTGTCGCCGGCATATGAGGCGCGCGGGCGCTCAATCGCGTTGCGAGTGCCGGCATCGATGAATCGAAAATTGCGTGAATGAGTGAACCTGCAAAGAGGAGAGACGATGCAGGCCATGACCGAGATTCGAGATTTGGGGGAAGCACAGTGTTCAGAATTTGGCGCCAAATATTGCAGGCAGACTAGCACAGCCCCATTGTGGCGGGGTTCTAATTGGTCTCGCTCACACTGACGTTGATCTTAGTGGGGGAATCGGTCATCTTCCGCAAGGAAGCCAAAGGCGGTTCAAGCGAACAATCTATTCAGGACATGCCTTGGGTCAAAGAACTTAGAGGCCTGGGCAAGGGGTCCGGTTTCTTTTGGTTTTACCTCGATAGACTGCCATTTCAAGCATGTCACTGGCAAGAGTTGCTCGGGTACGATGCACAAATCAACATAAGACAAGTCAAGGCCACAATAGCAATTCTGAAAAATGTCCTTGGTGATAAGAGGTTCATCTCAGGTTCGAACTTGGCTGAAGATAGAATTACTTTAGGGCCGCATTTCAAACGATGCCTGAACACTGATAAGCCCACGAACCGGGACAGCACCCCATACCATGGACCAAGCATAACAGAAACCTCTTCAATCATCGGCCCTGATTTCCTGATAGGCCGTATTGGATAAGCTGTTCAAGATTAAGCGATTGGTTCTTTTGTTTCTCGAGGCCGCCATCTCGATAGATTTATGTCGCGTGCTCACTTCTATTACCCCGTCGATGCCTGGCAGGTGAGCTGGGTGATCCCGCCGCTTTACGATTACCCGCTAGTCTCCCGGTCGCGCGACGGCCGGGTGAGTGGGTGATCCTAAGGTGACTAGCGCTGCCTTGATCTCTACCTTGGTGTACGTACCTATTTTCCCCTGACTCGGTTAGTCCGACTATCCGATTCTAGCTAATGTAGGTGGCGCGCTGCTGCCTATGATTCGAGGTTAATTCTGAAACTATCGTTTTATATAGCCGCCGTAGTATCGGATTTACTGCGAGCTTTGCGTTATAACTCCTATATTAGGCTGCTCGCCGATGATGCCCCTGAGCGACGATGTACGCTGTGACCCCTTAGACCGTATTCCAACGTATCAAACATGGAGGGTCGGTCTACATGCCTGTACACCTCTAGGGTAGGATCCCCAGGAAAGCAGGTTTCCGGCAGCTTCCAGATGTGGAGGCTAAAAGACAGGTTCCATGCGTAGCAGCGCGTGCGAAGCTGCGGAGGCTTTGCAGTTACATTACTTTACAGCTTCCTGTCCATTGGCAATCGATCTGACCTACCTGAATAAGCCCATTCCTAGGCTCGATTGGAAAGAGATTCGTTCCTTATGGCTGCAGTATTATTGCAGGTCACGGAGCTTAATAGTCCTGCCATAGGTAGCTCTAGAGACTAATCGTGAAGAAACCTGAATGGGCCTCTTACCGTTGTGCTTATATCTTCCCCTTCGTAGATATAATAAATGATTTATATGACCCGTGAAATTAGGTGAGGGTATTTTTATTATCCGTAGATTATATAAATACAAAGATAGAAGTATTATCTATGAAAATAACGGACTTTAGCGTTAGGAAATGAGTACGATAGTGTATTAACTGAGCGATAAGGTCTTCGAATAAAGTGATATCTAGTATCTCTATATATACTATCGATAGTATATCATTATCCTGGGTAAATGCTAGGATGATTTAGTACCTTTTGTTGTGGCTGAACCTCCCTATCTTCTTGACGGCCGTACCCAAGGGAGCCTAATCAGTTAGACTAGTCTATGAAGACCAGCTGAAGAGAACTATCAAGTAGAGAGCTTATATAGTATATAGAGAGGCTATATAAGTCGAGATTGCGCTACTACGTAATGCGTCGGCTGATTTTCTCTAACCGTCCAGTAGATAAGAAACTACTCGTGATTATAGATAGTGATACTTTAATATTAAATCGACCGTCTAGGAAATAAGTTATTTTATCTCTATATATATTAGGTTCTAAGCTAGCTTAGCTGGTAATACTTCTATTATAGATAGTATTCGATATAGTATAGCTTCGTCCGATATCCGTCTTGGAAGCCGTGGTATTTCGGAAATATCGAAATATATTGCGTATTCTGCGTATATCGCGTTCGCTATACCCTATTTTACGAGCTATAGCCCTTGTTTTTAATTATTTAATAATTATAGCCTGAATTACGGTATATTAGGATGCCGATAGATACGGCGCTATGACTTCGTGGCCGCTAACGATCGATTTCGCTATGAGGGTGTTATCGGGCTCTGCCTAGTAAAGGATACTGAAAAGCTAGGTAATATAACCGATAGCGAGACGATTAATAACGAGGAGGCTAGCGTTCGCCGGAGAGACTACTTTATCCTTAAACCTTTTATATCGGTGTAATTAGTGATAATAGGTCCGCTAGATCGCTATATATATTACGTTCCTATAATAGCTTACCGGGTAATCTACTCTATTAGGGCTAAATAAAGGGATTACTAACCCTTCGCGTTCTATATCGTTATAATGCAGATTGATATGCTAGGCTCACGTCCCTATACCTCCGCTAAACTATAAGACTATAAGTTCCTGTTGTGGCTTGGGTAGTCCGGGCACCCTTGCATTTAGTCACGTGGGTTTGGTTGAGTCGTTGCCGAAGTGGGGTCCTCTTCTCTAGCGGTCACTGCTCGCTGTCATCGTTAGCTTGGATAACTACTTCGACCTCGCGTCTTCTGTTTGTAGTAGTGCTCTAAGGCCTTATAGCTCGGTTAGCGATGACTACCACTATCTGCTAATTACCATCGCGTCGATTTTCACGTCCAGGTCTCCACCACGACTATTATTATTGCTCACTGCCTTAGGATCACCTTGCCTTGGATGCATCACCGCATAAGCCGTGTCGACCCGTTAATATCGTTTATTCTGTTCCTAAATCTTTTATCCTAACCCGTGTCCACCCGTCTCCTCGGCGTCTCGGGTAGTCTCCTCGAGCCTGAATGGGGGTGTTCGAGTGGGGCGACGAGTTCTTTGTCTCGTTGTTTACTTGAAGGAACCCAAGGAGACCCGTGTCTGTCAGCAAAAGCCGTTTCATATAGTGGAAAGGACCAAAACTGGACCACGTTAAAGTCGCCCTTTGTACTGAAGAGTACTCCCTCGACCCTGAGAGAAAGTTCTAGAGTATGGAGAGGAAGGCTGTTACTGTATGCACCTAACTGTATTACTCGGCTTCGATGTCTTGTTATAATTTCATATTCGCTTACTCGTCTCGTACTGTAAAATAGTGCTAATACTGATAGGCCTTTTCGAGCTGCTCCTTAACGAGCTTATTACGCTTCTAGCGAGTTTATCTCTAGTTACCGACGTCGTATCTTTAAAACGCGCGATATACGATTCTCTACTAATTCTAGATTAATATATTAATCCTGCCGAGTACCTCTAGCGGGTTAGCCTCTTTACGTATAGCGATAAGCTACTAGAGATAATAGCGACGTATAGTACTATTCTCTCCGGATCTAGAGCTTTAGAAAGATCGGGAACGGATATATCGGGTTAGGACTTCTATATTTCTCCGGTGCTCTCCTCGGTTATAATTATTAAAAGTGCTCTAGAGTAGTTAGGTATAACTTTTATATCTAGTCTTATAGGGGTAGCTTATAAATTCAGAGACGAGTCTTTCGTAACTCTAAGCCGGAATTAAGTTATTTCTATCGCTTATAACGTATACTTAGAAATATACTAGTAGCCTCCCGGGTATCGACGTATAGTTACTATAGTATATAAGGTATCTCCGGGATAAAAGGATATAGCTCCCTTTATCCGAGTAAACGGCTCCGTCTATTAATCGGAGGCCCTTATCCTTATTCGAATCGATAACCGTAGCTTTATATCCTTTCTTATATTTAAATAATAAAGATCCTATTCTTATCTTAATAATATCGTAATAAACGTCTTATATAATAGCGTTTATAAGAATAAAAAGACGATTTCCGTTTAGTTAGTAATAGGGGTTATAGATCTTCGAGGGATTATAATCTCTGAGTCGCTCTTCTAGATTATTTTCAGAAGTATATTCTCTTTCTATAATAGCTACGTTTAATACCTCTTAATAAAGTATATTACTTTTCATATATACTATAAACTAGTACGGGAGAAGATAGCATATATAGTTCACGCGGATTTGAGTTCTAGACGGCTACGGAGGGCGCTAGATAGGAGCTCCGTACTGCGAAGGACGATAAATCCTGCCTCCTTATCCTGAATGCCCACATCTAATACTCGGCTATTACGGACTTCAGAGAAGCCAAGCCATACCCGGACTCGAAGATATCTATTTACGCCTCCGAATATGCCTCCCTTCCGTACCTAACTTGCGCTCGGAAATGCAATGGAGATGGGTCGACCGTGCACGGGCCATAGGCGCCACTATGACGCCTGTGGCCCGTGCCGCACCCGGTACGTCGGCTCTGGACTACAGTGAAAATATAGTGATCTAGTCGTTATCAATAATGCTCTACTATACCTTAACTACCATTACCTATCGCCCAGCCCTTCTTCTTTATACGAGCATAGCTAATAGATCCTCTATAGTTTCTAGAAACCTAAACCAGTTACCGACCTCTATTATACGAAGCCGGCATAGCAGGGTGACGCTCTAGGTCTGGCCTCTCGAAGTCTAATATCCAGTGCTCGTCTTCGTATATACCAAGGGGGTAGAGATCGCTAGTAACCACGCCGATAAAGCTCCCCTTTTCATAGGCTATAGCGCCGGCATTACGAGTAACCGCCTAAAGCCCCCGAATAGCCCCGTACCTTAG